ACATCATCATCACCATCATCATCATCATCATCATCATCATCATCATCATTGTCGTCATCATCATCATGAAGAACATCATCATCTTCATCATCATCGTCATCATCAACATCATCATCATCATATTGATCTACATCCGTATCACCATCATCATCATCATCATCATCATCATCATCATCATCATCCGAATCATCATCGTCATCATCAAATCATCATCATCATAATCACCATCATCCGTATCATGCCGAACAATCATCATCATCATCATCATCATCATCATCATCATCATCATCATCATCATCATCGATCATCATCATCATCATCATCATCATCATCATCATCATCATCATCATCATCATCATAATCTGAATCATCATCATCATCCGAATCATCATTAGCATTCGAACCATCATCATCCGATTCATCCGAATCATCATCGTCATGCGAATCATCATCATCATCATCATCATCCGAATCGTCATCATCATCATCATCATCATCATCATCATCCGAATCATCATCATCATCATCATCATCAAGGTCATTGGGATCATAAAGCTGTATGCACCAACTGTTTGTATGCCCAGTGAGAATTAAATCAATAGATCATCATATTCACACTGGTATTGAAAGAGTAGCCTTAGCCGATTTCAATTCACCACACGCAAGTACTTTGTGGCACTCAAAAGATGAGTGTTTAGCAAATGCATGAATATTTTACTTCTGTGATAATAAGGACCGTGAACTATTGAGTCTGTGTGTTGGTAATCCACCGCTGGTCATCTCTATAAAAAAAATCGGGACAGGATACCTAAACTGTAACCTCTGTTTCTTGTTCTAGCTCTTCGAATGTATCAACAAAGTACTCGATCACATTTCAAGTAATTCACGTTTTGGGAGGGAATTTGGTTTTTTCAATACACTGCAGTTCATCAATATCTAGAGAGTTACATAGTAGAACGTTCCCTGGGTGGATAAAAATGGTATTCTTAGTCGTGTGGACACGATAGCCGTGGTGATTCGCACGATGTACCTGGCACGCGCGAATCGATTTAGTCATGGAAATCCTTGTCTGAAGTGGACAGTTGAAACCTCTGACCATTCCTGATCACACCAGAAAAAACCCGACTCTTTGGTTGTTACCTTTTCCTTCGCTGCGACCCCTTTGTAAAATTTTACCCTCTATTATTTTGTTTCATGAGGTGAACGAAAGTACAAGATTATTATAGCTAGCATATTGATTTTAAAACAAGCTGCAAACTTTCTCCCACTCTCACATCTTTCAGTGAGAAAGAGTACTTCCCCTCACAGTATTATGTTTGTGCATACCCAAAATAGACATCACTCGTTGAACTTCCTATCAGTCGACATCAGGGAATATTAATTAATTATCAGATCATCCGGGAACATATCTAATCGAATTATAACACAAATCTGACTTTGATAAAACATATTTCATGTATGGTCAAATTTACTCTATCAACGCATGTTGTGTGAACACCTAGCATATAGTATCGACAAAGCCATTGATGAATCATCTCAACGGGTCACATGAAACCAGTAGCGCCTGTCTGCACCTGTCACTGTGATTGTAGATGATTCATGAATTGGTAAAACAAAACAATTTACACTGGTGAAATTTCCAAACCAGGTTGGTTTCCTGTTACCAGCAACTGTTTACTTATACAACCACGATTAGTCAAATCGTCTAACGAATAGACCTATATTCGGAAGCACCAATTGCAGAGGGCCTTGTGCACGGTTCATAACTGTAAAGCAGTTAATTATTATTACAGAGGTTATCAATATTTCTCCATGTTATTTTTACCTAATTTCCCCCAGTTTAAGCTCAAGGACTTCCTTTAATATTTCACTACCGATTAGTTCACATATGCAGCAAAACCCCACTTCAAGTTGCGGGCGTTCGTTAATTGCAGTACAGGTACACATAAGGAGGAAAATGCAAACCATTTTGAATGGAATCACCAAACAAACGGCGACAAAATTTCATAAATGAATACCTTAAAAAGCCTCCTCTTTGAAGAAGGATGCGAACCACCCAGTTGTGACGAAATTCTTACTCACATTTTGTTACACTGTATAGATGACATGGAGACAAAACATGAAGAAATGCACATAGCGGTTAGGTAGATTACATGTCTCTCGGATTGGGGTCCAAAAGACTCCGAAACCGCATGGTTGGAGACGCTGAAGGTCATGGCTGCGAACCGACAGCAATGACTGCTGTCACTTCTCATCAAACCAGAAGGCGTGAAATGGTATGTATGTACAGTTGGACTATGTATAACGTGTGCTGAACATATACGTTCACTTTCTTTTCCCTTCCCTAAAAATAGGTCTAATCCCTGTCCTCCTTACACATTATCACTTACTTTGCACACAATACGAGTTTGGCAGTGATCAGTGAGGTTCTCTTCACTGTATTACGCTGTACAATGATGAATGATAATGATGGCGCTGTACTACCATGTGTTTACAAGTATTGATCCAGCTGGTGCAACATGACTCCCATTTCAGAAATACATTCCAATTTCCAGTAGCATACCTGTCTATCGACAGTTATGGGCGAAGATTATTCATCCCAAACTTTATCTCTCACTGCAGTGTTTTTAGTTCTCTTTTATCACCGTTTGAATTTGCACGACCTTGGGTAACACGATCGAATTTGTAGTAATTGGACAGTTGCAGCTCAGAATGAAACATTTTTTGTTTTAGGTATTGAAGAAAAAATATAAGTGAATGTTAATAAAGTTAAGTTTTATCCTATGTTTCCTATGACCACTTCACATTCACTCACGTGAATATGGCTCAAATAGAAAAGCGTCGGGAGGAATGTATCTGATGAAAGTTCCAGTGTTGCATCCCTTGTACTGTTTCCAATATTACTATTACTACTACTACCGTTGTGAAGTACTACTTACATTTGTGATTGCTGAATAATGGTCTACCGGTCTACCGTATGTGCCACTCTGAATATCATTAAAAATATTTTCATTGACGAGGCGGGTTTTCTATAACTGTCATTCTCAAAATGCATTCGCGGAAGTCGTATGTTTCATAGATGAAAGTTAGTAAATCTTCTCGCGCAAGGTTGGTCGTAGAAAACTGTTAGATTTCCCTAAATATTACTGGGTC